CTTCTTCTTCTTCTTTTTGTTTTTGTTGTTGTTGTTGTTGTTGTTGTTGTTGTTGTTCTTCTTCTTCTTCTTCTTCTTCTTCTTCTTCTTCTTCTATTCCCCTCGTTCGTATCCATAACCAACTTGTGAAAGGCAATGTTTTTTTTTTCTCTTCTTCTTCTAAGTCATCCTCTTCCTCTTCTTCTTCTCCTTCTTCTTCTTCTTCCTCTTCTTCTTCTTCTTCTTCTTCTTCTTCTTCTTCTTCTTCTTCTTCTTCTTCTTCTAGGCTTCTCCCTCCTCGTTGGTAGCCGTCGCCACAACCTATGAATTTTTTTATTTTTGTTTTTTCTTCTTCATCGCCATCCTGTTCTTCTTCTTCTTCTTCCTCCTCTTCTTCTTCTTCTTCTTGTTCTTCTTCTTCGTCTTCTTCTTCCCCCACATTGGTAGCCATAGCCACAAGGGACGGTTTCTTTTTTTTATTTAACTTATTGTTGTTGTTGGTCCATGTCCAGCAGTCTCGTGTCGTCCTCCTCCAACTGTAGCCATAGGCCCATAGCCACAGCCAACGTTTTTTTTTTAGTTGAAAAGTTGCTCCTATTCCCCCTCCTCCTCTTCTTCTTCCTCTGTTTGTTATTCTTGTTGTTGTCATATCTCACTGGTGGCCATGACGGGGGACGATGATGAATGCGGCAGTCGGGGAAGATCAATGGCAGTGGCAAAGAAGAAAGGACTTGCATTGCCTGTTGATGACGAGCCTGAATCGAGCACGCAAAGGACGGCTTCTGCATTGGCTACTTCAGTTGGCAGGGGGAAGGAGCCCACACCACGAACCGATGCAAGCTTGTTCCAGGGGAAGAGTAAGGCGGCACATGCCGATCTGCGAAAGAAAAACAACTTAAATGAGGTTTGGATGTGGTGTGAGCAGGGACAGGAGGTCACTAATTCGAAAGCGAGGGGGGAGTACAGGGTCAGGTTCAGGTTGTGCTTGGCAATCTGGAGGGGGTCGGCAACGAAGGTTGCCGAGCATTTCTTGAAGCCGATGAAGCCATGTGCACCGCAGACAGGTGAGATAGTCCACACACTTTGGTTGCTGGTGGTGCTAAGGTGCAGCCAAATAACAAGAACACGAAGGATTTGTTGAGGAATTACAAGGGAGGTGAGGTCGAATCAGACGTACATCGTGGTCATGCATCATGTGGAGAGGAAGGCTTGGAAGATCCGCAGACAGACGAGCCCCAACCATCGCCTATTGCAGGGCAGGCAGTTGCCCGCATTGCAAACGTGCTTGCTGATGCACTTGACGAGGCTGTTAGGGTTGCAGCGGAGGGCGGAGGCGGTGAGGAAGGGCAAAGGTCGACAGCGCGAACGTCTACCTTGAGACCGACCACTGTGCGACGATGGGTTGACAATGCGGCGCAGAAGAAGCTGGACATTGCATGGACGAAGGTCATGTTCAGGGATTAGGGTTGGTATCGCTTTCAATTTCTTGAACATGGACAACACTCAGACATTGCACGCCGTGCTATGTGTCCCCCCGTACAGATACGAGGAGTACGTACGCCCGTACGTCCGTACGTACGGTTCCTCAGGCGGTCGTACGACCCGTTTCGGGGGCCTTCCCCGAGGGGGGTTGGGCATCTGAGAGGGGGGG